TGCATCAGACTGACATGAAGAAGATACAAATGTTTGATTGTGTCACGCCCCCGCCGATATTTTAGGGTTGTCATGGCAGTTAGCAAGTAGTCCTGTGATGAGTGGCATAAAGGTGGAACGTTGGAGGTTTGAGGTACGCTGTGTGGGGCCGAGCAAGGGGTGGGGGCAGGTGCTTTGTGATGGCCAGGACTTGAGAGGGATTCCAGAGGTGGAGGCGGTTCTAACCGGAGTTCTTGCTGTGGTGCAATTCCGGCTGACGGTGCACTGCTATTTCCTGCGCATCCCTCTTAGGTAGAAGGTTTATTCTTTGCTTCCCTCCCCAGCAGAGGACAGCAGCTCCTCACCTGAGCCTGGAGAACAGCCGGGTTTTCTCCATATGAGAGGAGGATCTGAACACGGATGGTGGGGAGCGTGGGGGTGGGTTTCCAGCGTTTCTCGTAGGGGCACCGGGTCCCTTCACCAGGCCTGCACTGCTGAGAACAAGGCTGCCCTTTCTGGCTGCTTTCCTGCTGTCCTTCCTGTGAGCCCGTGAAGGCTGGTAGGGAAGAGCCCACCAGTGAGGCTGGACTCTTGAGTGGGGCTCCCAGGGAGTCCTGAGGGTCTCGAGGCTGCATTTGACCTTGAGTGGGCCTCTAAACTTGAGCTGAGTTTTTCTGTCTCATCAGAATGGGGTCTGCCCTGTCCTCTTGAGCCAGATTTCCTGTCCTGACTTCCTGTCCTGACTTGCTTTGGAGTGGCCTCTCTCCCCTTAGATTTCAAGCTGTGTGGATGCTGGGTAACCTCAGCTCTCTGATGGGTTTGGGAAAAATGACTTTGTAGGTTATTTGCAGTCTTCTCCTTTGTAGGGTGACAGACTCTCTGTGTGGGCTGACTACACTGAAATAGAACCCTGAAAAGTAAATTTTAACATGGAATTTTCTAATTTCTAAGAGTTGGCAATTAATTAAAATGATTTAAAAATACTGCAGGCTGCATAAAGTTTGTCCATTGGCCAAATCTGTCAATGCTACCAAGGGTCGGAGAAATTACAGTGAAATTGGGTTTTAAGTGTGTAAACAGCAATGCTAATGAGGGCTGGAGACCATCCTGAGACCCAGAAATGCGGAGAGAGACCCAGAGGGCGATTATAAGTGAAAGTAACAGCTAGAGCCCTTTGTGTGTGTGGGGGGATTCTTTGGGGTCCACGATTGGACCTGCATGTGCTTCAGTGCCCCACAAGCCACAAGAACACCATTTATTGGTGGTTGGGCGAAGCTCAGCAGAAGTTGCTGAAGAGAAGAGATGTGTGGTCTTGATATGAGCAGACCTAAGAGAGGCCCCTGAGCCCACACTCCCTCTCCTCCAGCCCCAGCCCTGGGTCAGGGCTTCCTGCCTCCCCAGGTCTGCGCTTCTTGTCCTCACCGCCAGCCGCTGAGACGCAGTGAGACAGGTCTCTTCCGGCAGAGAGTGGCAGGGGGAATTTACAGCCCTTCTGCAGAGAAATCAAACACTGCCTTCTGCTCGGGCTGCTCGTCCTGCTGGCCTCGGCCCCCCTCACTCCCCCAGAGATGGGATTGTGAGTGATGAGGGAGGGAGGGAGAGTGGGTGGGGGTGGGGCAGGGATCTAGAGAAATAACGATATTCAAAGTGACATGGAGAGAAGGACAAGAGGGAGACAGGTTTGGGAGAACTAAGAGCTAGAGAGAGAGAGATAAAGAGGGAGAGACAGAGGCAGAGAGAAAGCCAGGGACAGAGAAATAGAGAGAGGCTGTATAGCGAAGTCCCGGGGCTGGGCTGGGCAGGGGGTGGGATGTTTTCCGGAGTACTTAAAAGCAGGTAAGGGGAGCAGTGAAGTACTGAGGAATAAGACTGAAAGTCAGGCCTGAGGGGTAAGGTGATGCCACCATTGGCCATTTTTCCCTGAGGACAGAATCTGAGTAGGGACCAACAGAAGTTATTATGGAGTCCCTTCCCAAGGGCACAGATAGGTTGGGAGAGGCGTGGAGTTTGAGATGGGCTGGGGCAATTAGTACCGGATGGGAGCTCCACAGCATGGGGCAGGGTTGATGGACTGAGGATGTAGCACCGTCCTCCCATCCACTGGATTTACATTCCAGGACATTCCCTGGACGGCACTCCCCTCATCTTTGGAATGACAGCCTGGGCTGTCTTTGCTTTCTCTCTGGGCCACCATCAACAACCATAGTCCTTCTAGCTTCCCTCTCATTCTGCTCCCCCATGAGGCACTGCCCAGAGAGCTGATCTGCATGTAAGAAGGGAGGGGCGGTCACATTGGATTGGGATGATGACACGGGTAGTGCAGAGGGCAGACTTCCCTGGCTGGGCATTTCCAGCTCTTTGGAAACCATCCCTTTGGCCACAGTTCTGAGCCCCTCAGGGTGGGGCTCGGTGGGGAGGACCATTGGCCATCTGCCCTGAAGGGAGCTCACCCAAGGGATTTCCACAGAAGGAGATGAAGTGGCTCATCCAAGTTTGAAGCATCCACCCTTGGGTCAGTACTGATGCTCATGAAAAGTGCACCTGAGCGTAGTTATTTCCCTGGGAGTGACAAGGCTGGGAAAAGTCAGCTATGCGCACAGGGAGGAGCCCAGATTGTCAGCGGGGCTCCAGCTGATCATGGGGTCCATAGCAGAGCTGCTGGTTTTGCTCCGTTCTTGTGAGATTTGGTGGTGATTCCCTCCTTGGCTGAAGGAGGAATGGGGTCACGGTCAAGAACTAGGACCCAAAGGAGGGAGCCTCAGGGCAGCCTTTGGGTTAGAGATGAGATCAGGACTCTGCAGTATGAGGCTGAGAGAAGCAGGGTCAGAATTTCTGCCTCCCTCCCAGGGCCCTGACCAGAGTTGGCCAGGACTGGACCCACTAGAAAGGCTGACCCGAGGCGAATGCTTCTGGCTTGGAAGAGAGCTTCATCCCTCCTTTTGGTGGGCCCTTGGGGGAGCCCTATTCAAGGGGCGGACAGAGGATGGCTTCCCCACCCTAGGAGCCTGCACCAGTGGGAATCAGCATTAGGACTAATGGGAAGGTCTTCAAAACACTGTCTACCTTCCTGGCTTTTGGTAAGAGAGATAAATGGGTATGTTCAACAGGATAGGCTGATTGTGGTAACAGGCAATCCCCAAATGTCAGTGGCTTTAATGCGACAAAAATTTCTTACTCACATAGCGGTCCAGTATGGGCCGGCGCAGGGGCTCTGCTTCATGGAGTCTTTTGGGGACCCATGTTCTGTCTCCTCTATGGCTCTGTACTCCTCTGGGTTCTCAATTTTGATAGACAAAAAGAGTGAGAGGATTGCATGGAAGTTTCTGGATCAGGCTGGGAAGTTGGGCCAAGGGTTTTTCCTAGGAAGACACTGCCTGCCGGGGAAGGAAGGCTCTCTCTAGGGATTCGTGCTTAGAACCCATTGGTCGGAACTGGGCCATGTTGGTACTTTTATGTGCAAAGGAGGTGGTGAGATTAATGTTTTAGCTGAACACATTGCTATCCTGGACAAAATCTGGGCTTGGGATGTGTGTGTGTGTGTGTGTGTGTGTGTATGTGTGTGTATGCGTGTGTGTGTAGACATGAGGTAGGCACCTAGCTACGCTCACTCCAGCTGCCCAGACAGTAGATCAGTGGTGGTTAAGGGCACTGTGTTTTGAGCCAGACACTCATGGCTTTGAGTCTAGACTGTATACCAACCAGTGTTCTCTACCCTACTTGGTTTGGGGGTCAAGGGAAGAGAGGCTCCAGGGTGTGGCTGCACATGGGTGGCCTGGTCCAGCTGGCCAGTGTCCCAGAAGTCTGAGCAGTGGTCCCCTCTACCTGTTCCTTTGCTAACATCTCTGCCTGTGGCATTTGTGCAGTGTTTGAGCATCATCCTTGAGGTGGCCCAGTGCAAGACTGGTCAGAGCATGTCAGAGTTGCAAACTTAAATACCTGTGGGGCCTGGGCTGATCTTTAAATAATCACTCTGGTACAGTGGATAGCTGTGACTTAGTCTCCACTGAGGGTGGCTCTGGGGGAAAGCTGGGTGTTACCAGATTTTCAGAAGTGTCAGAGAAGCTGCAAGTGAAAACTTTTATGTGCATTCTCTTCTTAAAGCTAGCAACAAATCACCTAAAACTTATTCAGCAATAATGTGGCCCAAACCAAATATCTCTGCGGGAGGGCTATTTCCCGAGGGCTGGGTCCCTCTCTGTATGAGGGAGGGGTCTGGCTGACACAATGACACACTTCTGGGTGTGCAGGAAAACATAACTGAATGTTAAATAAACACCCGCTAATTACCCTGAGAATATTTATTGAGATTTCTCCACGTTGTAATAAGAAATTATTGAAACATACATCACCTACCAAGCTGTTAATCATTGGTAAATATATTTTAAATACAGCAGTCCATTAGTATTTTAATTTAGCCTGTCTCCAGGAGAATATGTGCTGGATCAGACAAATGTGCCAAGCTTCAGAGCCAAGGGAGAAATTCCTCACCTAGTTAATCTTTGTGTTCTCCTCTCAGGAAGGAAATTCTGGTACACCAGCAAGAGAAATGTCCCCCCCTCCCCGGGTCTGGTATTGATGGTGAGCGTCCTTGAGGAGCTGGTGGGCGAGATAGGGAGGCCACAGCTCTGAAGAGGAGGGGGAGTAGGTGGGGGGCCCAGGTAGGGCTGGGTAGAGGATTGCTGGCTGTTGGCAACTCCCCTGCTGTTCACTGAAATGCAAAATTGTATGGCTGAGAAAAATTACAACAGGTATGTTGAACCTCAAAGATCCAACAGACTTTTTTTTCCAACTTGGATGGTCTACATAAAATTGTTTACTTCCTGTAGCCTTCCTCCTTGTCCAGGGGGTGGGTTTGTGCATAATGCTTCATGTATGCCACATATATTTGGGGCCAGCTTGAAGGGGACAGACACGGTGATGGTGAACTGACCTTTGCCTTGATGAAACCAGATGAGCCTTTGGACTCCCTTCCCCATGAGCTACCTCTTCACTCAGCAGACACTTACCTAGTGACAATCTCTTACCAGATACCGTCCTGGGCACTGGAGATACAGGGGTGAACCAGGAAGAGAAGGTCTTACTTTCTGGAGCTTACATCCCAGGCATGGAAGCAGATGACAGACACATCAGCAGTGAGTAAGCAAGCACATTTGGAAGCATGGTGGTGCTGTGAGAAAACACAGCAGGGTAATGGGGGAGGGTGACTGTTGGAGTGGTGGTGATGGTGGTCGGGGAATATTCTGGCTCTGACTCAGAGTCCATGTTTTGATTTGAAAGGTAGGGGAAAGGGAGAAATGGATGATACCTCTGAAGTGTCAAAGTGGAGTAGGTGGTGGGCCATTCCCTGAGCTTAGAAATTTGGGGCAAAGAGCAGGGTTTTGGAGAGGGGATGATGACCTAGCCTGGAATGTGTTGAGTCTGAGGCATGAGTGGTTGGCCTCTGCTGAAATGCCCCCTCCTCTCTCCCAGCTGTAGCAGACAAGTTTGCTGCACCGAGCCATATCCCCTCTGCACGTCTGATTTCAGCACTGGGAGGGTGGACAGCGTCCTACGTCAGGCTTCGGATGCTTTTTTGTATCTCTTTTGTATCTGCCTCAGTGGAAGGCCCCTCAGTTCAGGGCAGGTGCCACCAAGAAGTGGTGGAAGGGAGTTCACATCACTGGGGAGACCCTCAGTCAAAGGAGGATGACGGGTGGTGGATAAATGCCTCTCATTCTCTGGGGGCGGCAGTTCCAGGGAAGGTTCTATGGGGTTCCTCAGAGGCTCCTCAATGTGACTGAGCCCCAGGTGCCCACAGCATCACCTGCTCTCCAGGTACATTTCACTTGGCCTTCCTTCTCACTCTCCCCTCTGACTCCCTCACTCCTGCTTTCCCAAAGAAACCTCTCAAACACCCCGAGTTGAGTCCTTGTCTCAGGCTCTTGTCTTTGGGGACACTCATGTTGGGACAGATTCTTACCAGTCCCCAAGGGCACACATACGAGGATGCACGTCGCGGTGCTGGCTCTGATCGGAGTGGCGGCAGGCTTCTCATGGAAACAGAAGGGGGCGCGCTGACGCTTCCAGGGCAGGCAGACGCACAGATGGACAAACCGCGCGAGAGCGAACACCAAACGACCAAGTACTTAGAGGGAAAAACAAGCCTCTTGAGCTTTCTCTTCTTTTTCCTTCTTTCTTATCCTTTATGGGCTGTGAGGTCGTAAGCAGTTTTCAGAGGTGTTTCCCATCCCTGGCATAGCCTTCTCTGGGATATTTTCTTCTCAGACCCCATTGGTTCGCAACCCACAGTGCCTTGGATATGGTGTGAGTGTTGCGAAGTCCACCTGCAATGCCACCCTGATCAGGAAATATCCCTAATTGATTTCCAGTCAAAATCACCTCTTCTTCTTGTCAGTTTCTGTCTTAATCAGCTCTGGTCACATTCATGATGCATAATAAACAGCCCCTACACTCAGCAACACATAAAAATAAGCATTTGTTTCTTGCCCATGTCCCTGCAGGTTAGCAGGGGCAGCCCTGCATGCTTCAGGCTGGAAGGGGAATGGCTGGCTGAGACATGCTTTTCCCAAGAAAGAATTTGAATGCTCCCACAGGACCAGCTGCAATGTGCAATGTTTCTTAAAGCCTTGACTCTGAATTCACAAACTGTCACTTCTGCTCACATCTTATTGGACAAAGCAAACCACACGTCCGAGCCCCTAATATCAGTGTGCAAAGAGGCACGTTCTTCTTATGAGGATGTGTGTGTATGTGTGTAAACAAGTATTTGCTGGACATTAGTCTAATGAACCACAGGTCCCACAGCGCGTGGTCTCTGCATCTCTTGCAGAGTTTACAGTGTTCTACCCTCCACCATGTACATGTCAATTACATGCGTGTTCCATCTCTCATCCGCATTGTAAATGTCTTTGGGGCACTATCCACGTGCAACCCCTCTCGGTACCTCCCTACCCAACAACTAAGAAGAGGGTTACTGCAAGTAGTAATATGTGGTCAGATCCTAGGTGTATTTTGCAGGCAGAGCAAAGAGGATTCGCTGACAGATTTGCTATGTACTAGGTAAGAGAATGAGGGAGATGATGATATTGCTTTTGACCTAAGCAATTGAGAAAATTGAGTTGCCCTAGATAGATGGGGGGAAATTGTGGGAGGAACTGATGCTCAGAAAATGGAAGGTCATTAATATCTATTTCATTGCTTCCAGAAGTGTGGGATGCTCAATATTTACGGATGGTAGGGGGATGATACACAGACCCACGAACAGTTAACATTGAATCAAAGAGTTGGAAAGCTATTTATCTTTCAATTCTTTATTGACTCTTTTGATTAGTCAAATAACAGTCTCAGTTTGGTGCTAGTCTGTCTTTAAACACTTGCTGATCTCCCTTTTTAGAAAAGAGAGATTATGCTGCAGGCTTAGAGATGGGCTGGCAACAATATCTAGCTAGATTTAATAACAGCATTTTCTTTTCATTGTATTTCTTTTTCTGGATAACTTCTCTGTATGACTATTGATTCTGGTTCATTTGCAGTCTAGATATACATTTCCTTTAAAAATGAATTTACTCTTGTTAAATAGGGAATCAGTTTACCCAAAAAGCGTTGAAGTGAATTTATTCATCCATTTATTTGGGAAATACTTATTGAGTGTCAGTTATTTACCAGAGACTGTTTTGAGTGTTGGGGATATGGCAGCGAGTAAACATAGACAAAACTTTGGGGCTTCGTGGACCTTTCAGTCTAGTTGGAGAGGCAGAAAACCGAGTAAATAGGTAAAATGGAAGTATTTGAGGTGATGACAAGCGTTAAGGAATAAATAAAGCAGAAAAGCGGACTTGCAGGTGAGGGGCTGGTGGTGGTGCAGTTTAAGTAGGATGGGAAGGGAATGCTTCATGGAGGAGGTGGCATTTGGGGAAAGATCCAAGGGAGCTAGCTACACTGGCCTCTGATAAAGGTGTTCCTGGCAGAGGGGACAGGAGGGCCAAAAGCTGTGAGTCCAGAGCATGCCTGCCATGGTCAGGGAAGGGCACGGAGTCCAGTGTATGTGGAGTGGAGGGAGGGAGGGGGAGAGAGTAGTACAGGGTAAGTTCAGAGAACTAATGAGGGCTGGGATCATGCAAACTGGTCCTGGGGAACACTGCTGGGGGTCCAGCTTTTACTCTGAGTGAGATGGGAAGGACTTTGGAAAGAGGAGTGACACGATCCGACTCACAGTTCAAAAGCATTCCTGTGGCCGTTGTGTTGGAAGCAGACCCAAGGGAGCGGGGCAGTCACGGGGAGAACTGAGGGAGGCTGCTGCAGGAATCCCGGTGAGGGAGGATGGTGGTTTGGGCTAGCAAGATGGAGTCAGGTGCTTGGAATATTTTGAAGGGAGATCCAGCAGAATTTGCTGAGAGATTAGATATGTGCTGTGCAAGAGAATGAGGGAGATGGTGTTTTTGACCTGAGCAATTGAGAAAATTGTGTTGCGCTATATACAGATGGGGAAATTGTGGGAGGAGCACAGGTGGGGTGGGGGGACATCGGGAGTTCCACTTGGTTGTGTTGATTGTGAGATGCCTGTTAGACAGCCGAGTGGAGTTGTGAATAGACTCTTGGGTATTTGAGCTTGGCGATCATCGGAGGGGTCCTAACCAGGGCTTAGATACAGAAGTCGTCAGTGTATAGATGATGTTTGATGAACAGACAGGAGACAGTGGGGAGCATACAGCTGGGGTCTCTCTTCTTGCCTGCCTGTGGCTAGCCCTATATTTGCAGCTCTTTGTTTTCCAAAGTCTGGACCCCAGATACGATAGTTGAAGATGACACAAGGCTATTTTCCTAATGACTCTGGGAAAATACCCCTGTTTCCTGTGACCCTATAAAGGGCAAAGAAAATCTTTGAAAAACTGTCATCTTGGCACAATCATTCTGCATACAGAGCTTTGCACGTTAAGCTTTTCAAATTGATCTATCCTGTCATTTCGACTCTCTAAACCTTGCCTTTTTCTTTACATAGTTCCTGTTTCCACTGGGAAGCAGTTGTCTGAAGCCTGAACTATATATGTCAAAACATCCTGTTAAGGTTTTCTGAAGTTTCTGATGTTGGGCAATTCAGGGCATTTGGTTTCCAGATCAGAGAAGGGAAATTTTCTTCCTGCCATTAGGTTATCACCGCAGACCGGGTCTTTACTGCTTCAGGTCTTAGAGCCCAAAACAGATGCCTAAGATGTGTAATGGTTTCTGCTATAAAACGTGAAACTGGCTCAGCCTGAAACTTGTGAGGACAATTTAAAATAATAATGATAACTACCATCACACGAACACTTAGATTTGCCAGGCTCTGTTTTGTGGGGGATGCTGTTGGTGCCTTGTAGAACGTGTACACTGCACATCCACCGTCCAGCTGCTAACAGCTGTCCCCTTGGCTGAGTAGCAGCCACCGCTCCTGCCCTGGCCAGCAGCAGTTACTAACTAACCCAGGCCGGCCACCTTGCCTTGATTTGGGACTGGCTCTGTGCTCCAGAGCTCCCTGCTCCCTGCGGGATCAGGCTGAAGGAAGCTTTGGGCCGAGACCACATCCTTCATCCTTGCTGCTTTTTCTTCCTCATCCAATGCTGCTTCCCTCACGCCCCTTCTGTGGAGAGCTCTCCTCATCTCAGGCTCTGTTTCTGGGGAGCTCAGCCTAAGACGAGTGTCTGATATATTTTATATAATCGAATCCTCTCAACAGCCCTCTGACATAGTACTATTATTTCTTACTTATAGATGTGGCTGTGAAGGCTCAGAGAGGTTAGTAACTAGCCCAGAGTCACACAGATGAACAGGTACAAGAACCAGGAGTCCAATCTAGCATTTGTTCTAAAGCTCACGCTGCTAACAATTATGGTGGTGTGTCACCTTTCCGAATGGTTGGTGTCAGATATTTTGAACTTTAAATGTTTTTTTTTCCCTTTCTCTTCTTTGGGGGTCAAAGGTGTTAAGCAGTGTTGATTGGAAGGCTAGGGACCAGTTGCCTGCAGTGACAATGGGCAAAGGGATAGTAGAACCCTTAGGGGAGGCAAAGAAAGGTGACTGATGAGTGCAGGCAGATGTGTTGTATGGATTCTGGCCCAGATGTGTAGATGTTCTTGGACAAGCCAGGAACCACGCC